ACCCGTGCTACTTATGACTGGTTTTGTGGTCCAGGGTCACATTTGTTTGAACATTATGCAACATTATAACATTATGTTTAATAAGTTTATTAGCAAACATTAACAAGCACATTATCTCACGTATCTAACTCTTTGAATATATATTAACTAATGATCTGTTAAGCATTATATAATGTTTGTTAATTTAATTAATTACATTTATATAGCGCTTTTCTAGGCACTCAAAGCGCTTTACATTGTCAGGGGGTATCTCCTCATCCACCACCAGTGTGCAGCATCCACCTGGATGATGCGACGGTAGCCCCAGCAGCAACCTAGTTTTCCCAGGAGGTCTCCCATCCAGGTACTGACCAGGCTCAGCCCTACTTAGCTTCAGTGGGCAACCAGTCTTGGGCTACAGGGTGATATGGCTATACCAAATAATGATTTATTAATGAAAGTTATTATAAAGTGTTACCAATTAAACAAACTTTGTGCATGTTTTCTAGAAAGATGCTCCAACGGGCCATATCTGTGGAAATGCGTGTTGCAGTAGCGCTATGGTATCTGCATGGCTACTGGAAGTCGGAAGCTATAACATACTCTCATACCATTATTTTTTGCTATTGGGTTGCAATTCATATTCATTTTGTCATTTTTTTGTGATTGCATTGCAATCCGTCATGCTTGTGTTTAGGAGTGCCTTTACACTTGGTCTTTTCGTGACCAGATAGCATGATGTGGAGTATGTGATTGATTTCAGACACAGCCTACACATTTTCAAACTGTTCCTAATTAAACACACCTGATTCAGCTCATCAGCTCATTAGTAGAGACTTCATAGATGGATCGGATGAATGAAACATCCAAAATGTTTACTGCTGGTATAACTGAGGCCAGATGTTAGGAGCTGGGCAGGAAAACCTCACTTCCCTGACCTCAAGAGCTCTTCAGCATCCTTGTTAGTGTGCCCAAATTGAATGCTTGTTGATGGTGGTTCAAATCCTGCTCTGAGCCATGTGAGTAGAACCAGTTATACTTGAGTGCCTCCAGGAACAGGGTTGGGAAACATTTCTTTAGGACAGGGGTAGCCAACCCAGCTCCTGGAGAGCTACCATCCTGAAGAGCTCAGATCCAACCCCAAACAAACACACCTGAATCAGCTAATCAAGGTGTTAAGGGTTACTTGAAAATGACAGACAGGTGTAATAAAGCAGGTTTGGAACTGAAGTCTACGGCTGCATCCAAAATCAAATACTTCACTACTATATAGTAGGCAAAAAACAGTATGTGACCGAAGAAGTATTTCCAAATTTACAGTACTCATAAAAGAGTAATCAAAAGGTACCCGGATGACCCACTACTAGTGTGATTCTGAAGTGTGCATACAATGGACACTTTACTATCCCATGAGGCCACAGGAGAGGATTTATGAATGGCAGTGACGAGACGCAACTGATGCTGGTAGGTCACGTGACAATGACAACATGGCGAATGTAGTACGTCCAGATACTTATTATATACATTCATACTACATAGAATGTAGTCTTTTTTGCGGTTGTGAAATAATTACTTAATCAAAAAAGTATGATTTTGGACACATCCCCTATGAAGGAGGCTTTCTAGGAGCAGGGTTAGCTATACCTGCTTTAGGGTTATAAGTAAGTGTCGATAACTTGAGGTGTATTAGTAAATACTTTGCAAAGCTTTAGCCACACATTTATGATTGGGGGTAATATTGGAACTTTTTGGGACTCAGGTGTTCAGCAGTTACCTTGTATAGTGCCCACATACTGGAAATTTGTATGGTTCAGACCTCAAAGTTTTAATCTACCAGCCCAGATTGTTACCCACTAGTCTACACCATAATTATAAACATCATAAAAGCTTGTCTTATGTTCCTGTTCTTACCTTTTGAGTGATGGTTTTCCCGTTTGGTAGCTCCACAGCTAGGCCCAAGTCTGACAGCCTGCACTGGCCTTGATTGTCCAGTAGGACGTTCTCTGGCTTCATGTCCCGGTATACAATATCCATGGCATGTAGGAGCAGGATACCAGTGATGATTTGAGCTGTGTAGTGAATGATGCGCTCCATCTCAATTAGAGCCCGACCGATATATCGTTTAGCCGATATTATCGGCCGATATGAGCCTGTCGCGATATATCGGTATCGCGAATATGCCGCCGATATGAAATTTTTTTTTACAGAGCATATAACGCAGATAAAATGCTTGAAATGGTGTCATTACTTAGTTTGTCCAGCAGAGCGCGCTCCATTATTTGCTACTGGCGACCTGGATGAAAAGCTTTAAAGCTTAAGTCTATGGAAAACCATTGAAACTTTGAACAGCCATATCTCCGTAACGGCACGGTGGATCCGCACCAAATTCGGGGGATCCCTTCAGCTCGAGGAACCCTCTCAAACGCGAATTGAGTGTACGTCTCGAGGACCTCTTTTGAATGAGACCACCCCCGCGTCAATAGCCCACGTGGTTCGGGAGTTACAGGTGGTTAAATTCGCGGTCCGGCGCCGACCGATCTAGCGATCCCGGGGGGCTACCGACGCGCAGAGGGTGGCGTTCGACTTGCCCTTATGGATGTTGAGGCCTACTTGTGCAGAGGCAGATGCTACACTGGTCATCATCTCCTGCATCTGCTGCTGGGTGTATGATAGTAGTGCCAAGTCATCTGCCAAGTCAAGGTCAGTTAGCTGTGTCCAAGGTGTCCACTGGATTCCGTGCCTACTCTGAGCTATGGAGGTCTTCATCATCCAGTCGGTCGCCAGAAGAAAGAGAAATGGCGAGAGTAGACATCCTTGTCTGACGCCGGTCCTCACTTGGAATGCCTCAGTGAGCTGCCCTCCATGTACCACTTTGCAATTTAGTCCCTCGTATGAGTTCCTGATAATGGTGACGATTTTGTCAGGTATCCCATAGTGCCGGAGCAGCTTCCACAAGGTCTCTCTATCCACGCTGTCAAATGCTTTCTCGTAGTGCAGGAAGTTAATGTACAGGGGTGAGTTCCACTCTAATGACTGCTCAACTATGTTTCGCATCATCGCAATCTGATCAATACAAGATCAGTCCTTCCGAAAGCCAGCTTGTTGGTCTCTAAGTTGAGCGTCGACAAGGTCTTTCATTCTGTTCAGCAGAACCCTGTTAAATACTTTCCCTGGCACTGATAACAGCTTGATTCCTCTGTAATTCGTACATTTACTGATGTCTCCTTTCTTCTGGATTTTGATAAGATATCCCTCTTTCCATTCGGCTGGTATTTGTTCCTCCTCCCAGATCTTCTTGAAGAGTGGGTGGATCATCCCTACTGTTGTTTCTATGTCTGACTTCAGCGCCTCGGCTGGGATGCTGTCTGGTTCTGCTGCTTTTCCATTTCCGAGTTGCTTGATGGCCTTCCTAATTTCCTCTCTAGTGGGTGGGGTGTAATTTATAGGTAGATCTGTGTCAGCCGGTTCGATGTCTGGTGGGTTTTGTGGTGCTGGTCTATTCAAGAGCTCTTTGAAGTGTTCTACCCATCTTTTCCTCTGTTCTTGATTCCCCCATGATTGGTTTCCCTTTCTTGTCCTTAACTGGACATTCAGGTCTGCTGTACTTCCCTGCTAGCTTCTTCGTGATATCGTAAAGTTCTTTCATGTTGTCCTCTCTTAGTGCTTGCTATGCTGTGGTTGCCAGGTCATCCATATACTTCTGCTTATCGGCTCTGATGCTCTTCTTCGCTCGCTTATTTGCATCTGTGTGCTCTGCTTGTGCCTTGGCTTTCTCTGCTCTTGTTCGACTGTTGTTGACAGCCATCTTCTTGTTCTTCCTCTCCTGAATCTTGGCCAGAGTGTCTACAGAGATCCACTCTTTGTGTTGGTGCTTCTTGGGGCCAAGCACTTCCTGGCATGTCGATGTAACTGCTTCCTTAATTTGCTTTCAAGAGTATCCTCCTCCTCTTCCAGCAGGTCCTGTATGGCTCGAAACTTGTTATCGAGGGTTATCCTGAACTCTAGCAGCTTGCTAGTATCTCTCAGGAAGGCGGTGTTGTACTTCTTTTGCACCATGTGCGTTGCCATCCAGTTCTTCTTTAGCTTCAGTTTTAGCCTGGCCACCACGAGGTGGTGGTCCGAAGCCATGTCCGCTCCTCTTTTCGCTCTCACATCTTGCATAGACCTTCTGAATTTTTTACTAATGCAGATGTGGTCGATCTGGTTATTTGTTGTGTGATCTGGAGAAACCCATGTGGCTTTGTGGATGTCCTTATGGGGGAAAACGCTACCACCGATAATCAAGTTGTTCAATGCGCACAGGTCTGCCTGCCTCTCACCGTTCTCGTTCCTATCTCCTAGCCCATGACTCCCCATGACACTTTCGTCCATGTAGTAATCCATTCCAGTTTTGGCATTTAGGTCCCCCATCAAGATATTGAGATCTTTCTCAGGATACTTCTCCACGATGGACTGTAGTCTATCGTAGAACTGATCCTTGTTGACTTCATCGCTGTCATTGGTGGGTGCGTAACATTGAATGACGTTCATCGTGATCTTTGTTCATCTTGGTATGGAAGGATGCTGTAATGATTTTGGGTCCATGTGCTTCCCATCCTATGAGCGCTCTCTGTGCTTCTTTCGAAAGCATCAGTGCAACTCCTTGTGTGTGAGGGGCGTTGTCCTCTTCATGTCCAGAGTGCAGTAGCATCTCTCCTGAAGCTAGTCGCTTCTGTCCAGATTGCGTCCATCGTCTCACTAACTCCTAGCAGGGCGAGGTTGTAATTCTACATCTCCACTGCTACTTCGAATGTCTTCCCTATCTCCCACATGGTTCTTACGTTCCATGTACCGATATTGGTTGCTCTGGTCGAAAGAAGGGAGAGTATCAGCCTTGTAGCTTTCAGAGCCTTCCGGCTTTCACTACAGGGCGTCATAATCCTTGTTGAGGACCCATCACTTCCCAGGGCTGAGTTTTCTTGTTGATTCTTTTATTGGCGTTTCTGTAGCAGGGTGCGTTTTACGGGATGGGGTTGCTAACCCTACGCCCAACCCTCCTCCTTTACCCGGGCTTGGGACCAGCAGGACCCCCCACATGGGGGTTCCAGGCAGAGTTCTTTAGCACCTGCCTCTGCAAAAGTCCAGTCATTCAACTCATCCAGAAACTCTGCAGCGGCTAGGTATTCTGGACTGGAGGCTAGGAGGAACTGTCGGAAGCATGTCTTCCCAATGGGCTCCTGCTCACAGATGTCCTCAAGTTGGGGAAGAATTAGGCTACGCCTCCTTGTCGTCTAAACTCTGTGCTTTCAGGTAGGCTGTGTTGGCCACCAGGTTGTCCAGTCCACCCATGTCACACATGGCTGTGGTGAGGTGAAGGGTCAACTATGTGATGCTGCAGGTAACAATGAAAGAGGATTGAGATACGAGCAGCACAGTGGCAAGCTCTGATACACTGATGATTTAAAAAGAATGAGGCTTCGGAGCCTCAAGTCGGAGTCTTCCCTGTGCCATAATTGCTCAGTCTGAATTAAAAACCTCAGTAGGGATTTTCTCTTAAGTAAGTGTTTTTGCATGCTAATTCGTGGATACTGCTCACGGAAAGGAACTTATGCTGTACCTAACTTAAGAGGCTTTGGACTATGTTTAGCCACAATGCTAAGGGACAGACAATGCAATTGATGTGCTCAGTCCTTCAGTTTGAGGAAATAACTTGTCAAATCGCTTGGAGAAATAATAGCACTAGTTTAAAGTTTAATACTTTTTAGAGGTCTGTTTAAATTCCAAACCCCAAGTTTGAGCCATAGTAGTGATGCTTGCCTTAGCTAACACTAATTACATTTTAATATTTGATGTTATAAGCTGTTAGATCGTGGTCGTTTTCAGTTCTTTAAGAGTCTGGAGACTTTAGGAGCTTACAAGTGCAGGTTTAGAACTCATTATACGAGCTCACGGAATGAGACTAAAGTGAGAATAAGCCCTATTAGGTGTAAACACATGTATAGCCAAATCTGTCCTCTTGGCTGTGTTTAACCCAGCTTTGTGCTCCGGGCAGCCATGTTTCAGAGTAGGTTGTCTGGCAGACAGCTGACATCATATTGCTATAATGATTTGTATTGAGTATTATTATATGAGTATTATATTATGAGTATTATTATTTATTAAGATGGCAAGATTTGAGACATTGTTTCTCTATTTTTTTTATTGAAGTACTAATTATACTTCTAATAAAATAATTAGAAAATTGAGTAATGACAATTCAAATGCTTGGAAATAGTTTTGTAGCGTAACGTGCCTACAGATAAATGCGCTAACATCACTAACATTTTATTTATTATTCTAAATGAGTGAGATCAGATAATAGCCAACAAGTGTCCAACATACAAGTGAACTCCTTCAAAACATCCCAGGAGGCAGCCCATGAAACTGCCAAGCAGTATTTCTATGTGAACATGTCTGACATGAAAATAAATGTCAGAATCCCTCGTGCAGCAATAAATGATTCAATCCTTTTCAGTTTATAAAAAATGATCAAATATGCTCAACTAACAGATAAATACAAATGAATGCTTTATAGGTATAGACCACCAGATACAGGATATTCTATTAAAATTTTATTGGGCAAGCCTTGATTATATCCATCAGGAACTGAATGGATTGTGGCAAGTAGGTGTTTCAAACCAGAATGAATATGTCGTGAATATGAGCACCCTAAAACAATGTCCAAGAAGCTTGATTCTTGAGCATTTATTCAGTGGCCTGGACAGCCTTAAATATTTTCACAAGTTATTACATATTGTTTACAGTATGGCAGGACATTTGTCTCACTGCTTAACATGTCAACTACCCAGTATAATTTAATGTATCAAATTTAATCTTGATTACACTCTTTAGCAAAACCCTTAACCCCAGAATGCACCAGGGGAACTATCAATACAAAGATTTTAGTTTACATTTGCCGTTGGCTGAAAAGCCTGCGTCAAATTCCAACTAAATCTGTCTTGGAAATTGTTCTTATGGGTTCCGGACTAATCACAAGCACTCAAATCCTGAGCTGATTGTTTCACTGGAATTAGAAGAGGATGGAGCAACACACAGCGTACTGGCAGAACACTTAGGAAATGCTTTTTCACAGACATCTCAGTGTTGCATACTTTAGAAAAGTCATGGAAATTTCTATATATTTAAATTATTATTTTCCTCCCCCTAGTTTTGTGCTGTAAAATATTTCTTCGGATAGATTTTGCACTTTTTAAGTTCTCATGTAAAATGTGCTACCAGGCCAGCTTGATAATTACTGAAGTTTAATGATGAGAGAATCTTCATTTTTGAGTAAACTAAGTCTTTAAATTTGTCTATTGAGGGCTTCTAGAGACATTTGTACACTAATAATGAATAATTAATTTACAAAATTACATAAAAAAACTCATCCAGTATAAATTATATAATATACACTGAACAAAATTATAAACGCAACACTTTTGTTTTTGCCCCCATTTTTCATGAGCTGAACTCAAAGATCTAAGACTTCTTCAATGTACACAAAAGGCCTATTTCTCTCAAATATTGTTCACAAATCTGTCTAAATCGGTGTTAGTGAGCACTTCTCCTTTGCCAAGATAATCCATCCACCTCACAGGTGAGGCATATCAAGATGCTGATTAGACAGCATGATTATTGCACAGGTGTGCCTTAGGCTACATAGAAAAAGTCTTAGATCTTTGAGTTTAGCTCATGAAAAATGGGGGCAAAAACAAAAGTGTTGCGTTTATAATTTTGTTCAGTGTATATAATTACATATATAATATATACAGTGGATAACAAAATGAGAGCATAATCTATAAATACTTGTTTTTTTCTGAAAAATTGTTAATCTTCATCACTCAAAATTTGAAGGAATATTAGCTGTAGGTATACCACTGTTATACTAACATGTTTGACAAAATAACCAAAGCATTTCAACAAAACCTCTATTTTGTGGAAAACACAGTGAGAACAGTAACCACTGTAGTACGAAAGAAGATTACAACTAAAATTTTGGAGGGTTACAGCTGTCAGAAATTAGTAGGAATTGTAGAGGCCCCTGCTTTGAATAACTTCAGCACATCTGCGGCCACAGGATATAATTTCTCACACTGTGCTTGTGTGATCTTGGTCCACTCTTCTTCCACAGTTTGTTAACTGTTGTGGGTTTCTTAGCCATAACTTTGATGCCATGGAATTTCCAGAGATTTTCATTTGGGTTTAGATCAGGATTCTGGGCTGGCCATTAAATTACTTCAACGTTCTTAGCTTCAAGGAACTGCTTTACCCATTTTGCAGTTTTTAAAAATTGCAGGCTGATTGGGAGATGCTTGCAGGGAAGGTACCACATATGGCTGAAGGAGGTTCTGATAAACATTCACCGTGCCATGTAGCTGTATAAGAGGCCCAACTCTTGCAGAAAACATCCCCCAAAACATGACACTTCCTCCTCCACCTTTCACTGACTTCTTTATACACTCGGGGTTCCGTCTTTCCTCAGTTTGACGCAGAACATAATGTTTCCCATCTGACCCAAATTAATTCAAACTTGCTCTCATCACTAAAGTGAACTTTGGACCGGTTTTCTCTCCACAAAACATGCTCCTCAGCAAATGTGATTACTTTTTGATTATTTCTGCTGATGAGAGGCTTCGTCACTGCAGAATGTGCCTTCAGTCTGACTTCTCTTAAACATGCCTGGACAGATCCTTACCCTGCTCAGCACTGAACTGGCAAGCAATTCCAGCTGCAGCGTTGAACCTTTTTCCCATGTAAAGTTTCCGCATTATCCTGTCTTCTTGTGCATTTGTCTTACGTGGACGATCACCCTTTTTGGGGGACTTGAATTAATTAGTATCATTGTAAAGCTGCAATATTCACAGATCACAGATTTGGAATGACTAGCTTCTCTTGCAGTGGCTGAAAGTGTCATCCCTTTGGCCTTCATCTGTACCGCCTCCTGTTGCAGGGTTTCAGTTACCTTAGAGCAGCCTGCCATTTTGCAATCTCAGTGAAAATTAGAGTGCTGCCAGTTAAATAGGCAATGTCAAATTAGCACCAGCAGATTAACACCAATAACTTGGAGGTATCTGTAAGTGTGTTCTCTAATTTTGATCAGAGTTTTTTCAAACATCTCATTTAAGTTTTTAATACTGTGCTACAGAATACAATTAATTTATGAAATATGCTTAAAAAACTGCCACTCTTCTCCTGTTAGGAGAACTTCAAATAGGACTAAGCAGTGACCTTGAAATTTAGGAAACTGTAGGTTGTTCTCCAATTTTGATCTCCACAGTATGTATATATAAATTACGCATAAATATATGCAAATCTTAACAGAAATATTTACAAAATTATTTTAAAAATCCTCAATGCACAAATCTTCACCAGAAATTATGTAAAAATAATCCATCATTCAATAATCAGTAACACACACCTACAAAACATTGAGATTTGTTTTTATTTCTAACACACTTAAACACACACATTCATAGCACAACTTCAGTTATAATATCACACATGATGCCACAAACACCCAAGTGAATCTGTTGTATCCTGGAGCTCTTCTGGCTGGTTCTTCTTAATGCTGTATGAGGTGACAGAATGGTAAAGCTAACCAGTGTCACCTGGATTTCTGCCTACATCCTTAGTTTCACTTTGACAGTCACACATGCACACAGGTTTTCCTACACATTCAGCAGCTGGAGATGCTCTGATAATCAGTCCGGTCTCCCCAAGCAGAGTAGTGCCAAAGTGGACAGAGGAAATGTGGGTCCAAAGCTTGAATCCTCACTTGCCGATCCTCTGTACCACCCAGTCCTGTTGGCATAGTGGGCATCTATTGTTCTGCTTCACCCAGAGGGACATGCAGCAGTTGTGGAAGGAGTGGTTGCACTCTCCCCATACCACTGAGAGAAAGACAAAATAAGAGACCGTAATGTTTCAGACCCAGAAAAACAAAACACTGACATTCCACAAATTATCTTCTTTTGTGTTCCACAGAAGACAGACAGACATTCATACAGGTTTTGTAGCAACATGAGGGTGAATATATGAATATATTTCTGGGTGAACTATCCCTTTAAGTGTGACACTATCCTTTGATTTAACCAGTTGAATAACCTACCAGTGTGGAGGCAGTGTTTATTTTGTGACACAAATGAATACTATGAATTGTGCACTTGCTCAAGGTACTTAACCCCAGGTTGCTTTAGTTGGATTGCCACTAATAGGTGTACTGTAAGTCGCTTTGGATAAAAGCAACTGATAAATGACTGAAGTATATAATTTATTATTATATTGTTAATATAAATTACAAAATATATATTGTGTAAAAT